CCACACATTTCTGAACACTTCCAGGGATGGTGACTCTGCCACTGCCCAGGGCTTGACAACCCTGGCACAATCTGCATAAAGYCTTCCCAACATCCAGTCTAAACCTCCACTGGGCCAGCCTGAGGGTGGTTTCCCCAAGAGCTCCCTGAAGAAGTTCACTACACAATTCTGAGTAACAGTGGTGCTGGGCTTTTGGTTTGATTTAATCAGGAAGAAAAATGTAAGATAAACGGAACAACTTTTTTTCCTGAAAAAAAAGGAAACTAAGCTCCTTCTTTTAATTCCATCTTTCTAACAATGCCACAAGTTACAAAATCTTTAGTGGAGGAGCCTTGACTGGCCTATTCCTGAACAGAGYTCAGATTCTTCTGAAAACATGTCAAATTCCAAACTGTACAATAATAATCCAATTCCTGCAGGGAAAAAAAGACAAAATATGAACAATTAAGTAAAAGCCTAATTCTATTTTGAAGTACATCACCCTTCACCAGGGCTCAAGTAAAAGCATCCCAAGCAAGTTCCAAACAAGTGCTCAACAAAACAAGTCATGAACATGTGGCAGAAGTACAGAACTCCTTTGCACTATTAACAGATGTCATTTAAGTCTTAACACCAGTGTAAAATATCTAYGAGTTGTTTCACTTGATTTTGAAAATCCATATAGAAAACAATATTCATAACTCCATCCACAGGATTCTACAAAGCTGCTGCTTCATCAACAAATCTTTGAACTGTTTCAATATGAAAATTCCATTTTTTCAAACTGCTCAAAAATCATTGCAGAGAATTTCCAAGCACTTGAACTGAAGTACAACCAAAGTATGAACTTGGTACATTTTTGCAGTTATTTCTAAAATAAGTTAATTTTACATAAATCATCTCAAAATAACACAATGGGATTCAACTTCATTTTAGACATTTCGAAAGCAGTGTCATACTTTATTTAAAATAAACCCATGTAAAAACAAAGTTTAAATGAAAATGGTACCTGAAAAATAAATTATTTTATATAAAACAAATCAATAACTTAAAAACACACTAAATATACAAAATGTGTAACCATATACTGTACAGTATGGAAAGCAATTGATAAAACCTTCTGTCCCACAAACAGATTAATTTATAAACAAAAGATTACATAAGTTAAAGGAAAGGAAATCAATAAAAAGACTAGAAGTACAGTATTATTCAAACTACTCATCAAATAAAGGTTTATCCCAACTTATGTTTCAAATGTCTCAAGTCATTTTCTACTCAATGACCAAGTGAAAAAGTTCAGCCATACCAATAAAAACTTGCTCAAAAATGTTTAAAAATAAGGAACACCAGTAGGAGAATATTGAGATTCTAAAATGTGAATACAGAAGCAATTTTCCAAGGTTTCATGTGGCAGTTCTACCACTACTGTTTTCCCATCATTAGCAACAAAAAAAAAAAAAAAATTCATTGCTGAAAACGCCACTCAACAGAAAAATATTTCTAAACCTTTGTTGCTGTTTGGTCGAATGTGATCTAGAAGGAATCACCAGGGTTGAACGTCAAACCCGCTCACAGGGTGGTGCGTTATGCTTTAGAGATCATMAAGACTTTGACTGGTTTTAAATCATGCAGGAGGAGAAAGCAACACTTTGGAGTTTGGTTTTGTTTGACTACATGAGACTACAACAAAAAGCAACCACCAAAACGATGCCATACCTGATCAACCTACGAGTGGACACTCGGAAATTAACGGTGATTTTCAATCCACTGGTTGTCACGGAGGTACCGCCTCTTCCAAGCCAGAGGGAGGGAATTGAGACCCTTTCAATGAACTCCACATTTTTTTTATTTTTTATAGTGATAAGGAGAAACCAAAAAAGGTATAATAACCAGAGAAAATAACCACTGGCCTCTTGAGCTTTGGATTTATCCGTTCTACTGTGCTGAGTAGCCAACCTTAAGAAGTGCAAAGTTACTTCAGAGGAACTTGCCAAAGGCACAGAAAGACTCTCCTGTTTTCAAATGACTAATTAAACTACCTCATGTGACAAATTCAGCTCTGGGAAAATAAAAACAAAATGAAAAAAAAGCCAAAACACAAGTGCAGCTCCACTCAGGCAGCTAAAGGGAGTTGGTGTTTCCTTATGCTAAAGGTGAWTTTGGCCCCTTCCCTCTAAAGCTATTTGTAGGTGCCTAGAAGTAGTAATGTGACAATAAGGCCCTTCACTGACAGTTATAAAGGACACATTTCTTCATTATGGAAATAAAAYATACAGTGACCTTCTGACAGAGGCAGCATCCAGACAAACCACTCTGTGTTTATGTGATTGAACCAGGTTACCAGCAGCTCGTAAGAGCCAGGTGTTAAAAAACCTCCTGCAAACCCTAACCTTCTGCAGGCAGAGCTATCACAGGAGCTACTTTGAATTAACAGTTTATTTTGTTATATGACCTGTATATTGTGTTAGAAAAGTAAATGTGGGGATACTCTTCATGCTTTTTTTAAAAGCATATACACAACRATAAACTATCCAAAAAGGAACTTGAGTTATTACCATTTAGAAAGCACTGAAAAAAAAAATCTCTCCTGAAATCTTTGAAGAATTTCTGTTTTATTGACCTTACCCAGAACATTAAAACAACATAAAATTGTAACAAATGTTTAAGGACCTTAAGAACTATTCATTTTCTAAACTCAGCCTTAAAATAGTGGATCACCTTTACAGTTATCATTTTGGCTTTGACTGCTGGATATTCTTTCTATAAATGATACCAGTGTTTTTTTAAACTTTAAAAAAAACATTTTTAACTGCTTTGTATAAATAACATTACTACAATGTTCAATGCCTCTACAAAGGTGTCCTCTCCATGCAAACACCCTTTGGTCAGCTGGACAAGTGACCACACACTGACCAACCAGTGTTCACTGCGGTGACAATTCACCCTGCTCCAGGGACTTGTCTCTGGATTTTCAGTGGTTTTCATGCTCACATGATACAAATGTACAAAAAACATGTCCAAGCAAAGGGAAGGAAAAGTTGTGTGGCCACACACCACTGTGGCTCTGGTGATTTCTCCCCTCACGCTAAGGGCTGGATCCTCAAGCCTTCCCCAGTACCAGAGTTTGAACAGACACAGGGACTGGCACAGGAGAGTTCAGGAGGCACCAGTAACTGCACTGGCAGTCCCTGACASAGTGGAGCAGCTCAAGTAAACCAAACTTTATGATAATGCAACTTGAAGAATAAAATAAAATAGAATAAACCCAACACTTCAGTGCACAGACACCATCTAGCAGGGATTCACTGAGAACTCAACACACTAAGCAGCTCTGATTCTGCTCATGTCTGGATTTCTGCCATCCCCTCACCTGAAGGTTTTGCACTTGCCTTTGCCAGCTCATACCAAGCCCATACAGCAACATCAGAAATTCTTCTTCCATATTTATGTGGGATTTCCCTATCTGCTAATGGCTAACAGGAGGTTTATAGGTGATGAGGCWCATGGCCAACAGTCTGCACAGGGCGAGTTCCATTCATGTGGACATTCATGTGGGAAGCAAATGTAGAAACTCCCCTCAGCACCAATACGGCAGAGGTACACAGATATACAAAGATACACAGAGACCCTGTGACAGCAGCACAAACTGTGACTGCAGCAGGAATTACACCAGCTCCTTCAGAAGCTACACCTGGGGCTGTCTTGAGAGACTYTTAACCTACTCTAAAGGACCCCAAAACAGTCCCATCACAGCTGTACCTGTAGCACATCTCCAGTACAGACCAACAAACCCAGGTCTTCAGAATCTGATCATCACATCCTAATCCAGCAATGCAGACTTKCCAGAATTCTCTACCTCAGTGAGACCACTGCATCTCACGAGCAATGTGAGACCTCTGCTTTGAGATAGCCCTTTGGTTCTAACTAAGATCCTGCAAGCACTGACTGATACAAGTATCACCTGACAGAAACACCTGGAGTCCATCAAATTAATGGATAAAAAAGCAGAGCATATCCAGTTTCCAACACTCCTTGAGAGTTAAGAGGCCAAAACCTCTCTTGAAACAGATCTTTTAAAATGAGAGCTTCAAAGCAGGGTCTGCTGAATGGTGTAAGGAGGAAACCAGTTGCTCCTACCTTTGGGGGGGAAAAACTGGCAGATGACGTGTTAGAATTTAGTTTCCAACTCCAGAAGTTTCCTTTTGGTCTGTACTAGCAGGATGCAGGCTGCTGTTTAGGACCAAAAGCATCAAGAATACATACACATTTTTTTCTGGACTTCAGCTATTTATGCCAAGATTTTATTGATTGTTAGAATAGTGCAGATCACATATTACTTCTGGTATCAGCTCTGGATACTAGCAGGAGTTTTTCCTCTTTTCCTGACTCAAGCAGCAGTGTTTTGCTCATACCAACTACCTGGAAGTTATTATCAGAGCAACTATCAAAGAAAGGTGGAATCAGACCTTTCCTAAGAGATTGCTGTAGTAGTGGTACAAAACCATATCCTGAATTTCCTACTTATTTAGCAAAGAATGAGAGATAGAAAAACAGAGAAGCAGTGAAAAAAGCAAAGAACAGTGATGTCAGAAAGCATGCATCCAAGAGAAAGGATTTTCTTCAGAAGTGGCAGCACAGCAATGTGCTGCTGCYATGGCCAGCGTGCTTGGAACCAATACTGATAGAGAGTCATGTTTGGAGGTCACTTAGAGAAAGTCTGAAGCCCCAGCTAAACATTGTGATAAATGGCAATTCCCATTTAGTTTGCAAATTTATCTTAAATGGAATAAAGCAAGAGAGAATGACAGGAATTGGGAATGACTACAGCCCACTCCTGTGGAACAGGACAGTGCAGAGTTCAGCAGTGATGGGACATGGCAAGAGAACCTCTCTGTACTACACAGCTTTAACTTGGGAGAATCCCTAAAATGCTTCCCAATCTCTCCCAGTACACAGAAAAGGAATAAYCATTGATGTGATAAATGGATGGTRATGAAYYRGTGGAAGRAAASCTCTGACAGCCAAGAGCAGCTTTGKRGAGCAGGAGTGAGCTGGCTGCTGTGTCACAGTCACTGTTTCACAGACCACTGAGCTTCTCAAGAGATGGGGAGTGAACAGACTGGCAGGAGAGGCAAGGATGGATGTTTTAACAGGAAAAACCCCACCTGGATTCACTGYACACAAGCTCAAATCAGTGGGAGGCTGCTCGCTGGGCCAAGGACTATCTGTAGAGTTCAGGTATGTCCTGGGCACRTCCAGGAAAATCAGCAGCTGGCACAGGTCATCCCTGGAGCTGGAGCTGGGCAGCAGCTCAGCCATGAGCAGAGGCTGAGGGAGCCCTCAGGCTGTGCAGATCCCATGGCAAGGGGAGGACAAGGAGAGGACAAACAGTGGCAAGCACAAGGCAAGGTCAGCTGGGGATGGAGTGAGACGAGCAGGCAGCACGGACTGGCCTCTGCAATTTGGGAATGAACTCTGGGGCTGGTAGAAATTCAGGCAAAACATGGAGACACTACAATAAACTGCCAGAGACTCCATTTCCACACCTGCTCTACCTATATAAACACCAGAGCCATCTCTAGTTGTGCACAGCACCTCACACAGCTGTAGAGGCAGGGTCAGCCTGCCCATGTTTCCTACCCAAGCACACCTGAGGGTTACAGCAGTCTGTAGCWTGCTGTTTCTATGTGACAAATTTATTGTGGTGCTTGTTTCAAATTTCTTTTTTTTTTYCTCATCTGTTAAAGCAGTAAATTGAAATTCTCTTAAAGAGGAGCTACGGTTCTTTAAAACAACACTCTGAAAGCTGGACACTTCTTTGTGCAATACTTAGCAAAAAAAGAACAGAAAATAAAAAACAAAACAAAATTTGAGCAAAACAAAATCAAATTTAATGTTCTTAAATGCAAAAGTAAAAACAAACAAAAAACACAAAAAAGCAAAAGAAAATTAACAGAAACAGAACAACTCAAAGTTTCAAGGCAGTCTGCAGAAAACCTGGGGGATTAATCTTTAAATCTACAAATCAAAGGGGTTTTTTGGTTAATATCTAACTTGCAAGTTGTAAGTACTTTTCTGCTGAGTGTTCAATAAGTAAAGCTAGTTGTCAAAACAAAATCCTATTAAAATAGAAAAATCTAGCACTCATTAGAAGGGATGCGAGAAATACAATGCTCAAATGTTTATAACTGGTTTTTCTTTACAAAATAGAACTGCCAAAGGAATTCCAACTACAATGATCTTGGAAAATGAGTAAGTATCTTGCTGCATTATAATGTACCAGTAAGTAGTGCACCATGCATTAAATATTAGGACAGAAGAGATTCAGTCTGATAAAGTAGCAACATATATTCACACTCGCTTTTTTGGAGTTTCATTTTGACTCTGAAATCTTCCCGGAGTTTCTTTGAAACTCTTTGGTCCATTCCTCTCAAAGTGGGCTTTAAAAGTCACGTTTTCTAAAACCTGYGAATTGGACAGCTCGGCCACTGCTCAGTGTGCAACTTACCTCCTCAATGGTGTTAAAGTTAGGCTGGCATGCTACTACTTACAAGACCTTGACTTTAAAAAGCCTGATCCTTAACTAGACAGAGTAATGAGTATTAACTGATCAAACAATTTACTGTCAACTAAAACATTAGTATTTCTCAACTTTTCTTCCATACTACTGAAACTGGGGAGAAAAAAATAGGACAGGGGGATGGGTAGGAAAAACAACATAAACCAAAAGAAAATCAATGAATTCAGCCTGATATTTTTCAGAAAATTCCAGTTTTTGCAGACAACATTCAATGAAACAAATGTTAGTCTCATAAGTGAAAGCATGCTTCAATTTTACCACCATCCAGAGGGTCTAGTTAATGCAATCTACTTAAGATTTCAGGGGATTTTTAACATGTTTTAAATGAAATAACTTAAAGGAACTTAAAATTGGTCTAACATTGTGGGATTTCAAACATTTGAACATGTCAGTTGCATCCCAGAATATAAAACCTTTTCACTTCTCATTTAGACTAAGACAAACACTTGTGAAAATTGGCGCAAAATGAGTTTTACACTAACAAAAATGTTTCAACTTCTGTCACTCCATTATCTATTCCATACAAAAAGCACGAGCAAGTTATTTGTGGGACTTGTTGGTTTTGAAGGAAACCTGTAAGATTTTGTCCCCCAGGCGGTAGCCATTAAGACTTGCTATGGCCATTGCAGCTTCTTCATAGTTTGTCATGGTCACAAAACCAAAACCTTTGCACTTGTTGGTGTTGAAATCTCGAATAACTTTCACATTGGTAACCGCACCAAAGGGGCCAAACATCTGCCAGAGGATTCCCTCATCAGCATCTTGACCAAGGTTGTAGATGAAGATACACCAGCCAGAAGATGCGTTTCCTGGAACATTTACACCAGAAAGCCCACTCATGTGATCTACACCCATAGGAGAGAACCTAGCAAATAAAAAGCACAATATTTCATGTAAAAGTTCAATTCAATTAAGCAAATTAACTTGAACGGGAAGCAACTGAGAATGAATATTTTATACATGGCACATCAAAACCGCCACATAAATGTTTCCCCATTCAAATTGACAATCAAATTGACAGCTGCCAGGAAAAAAAAGTTAAGTATTCCAACTGCTTTATCAACAGGGAACTATCCTTAGAAATAGGCAAGGAACAGGCAAGACAAGGTTACATGATCAYCTTCCCAGTGACCTGGATGGATCTCTGAACTCAGCCAGGCTGCTCAGAGTAACCAGGGCATTGTGCAGAATTGCTCCAGTGGGGGGACAGGCAGCACCTCTCCAGAGGCCCCAGACACCCCCAGGCATCTCCCAATTATTTCACAGAAGGAGGTTTGCCCCCTCCCCCATCCCATCCTCCTTTTCTTGCCTCTAAAATGTTGAGAAACTCCTAAATCAAAGAGTTTCTTTGTTTGTTTGCTGGGTTCTTAGGAGCAGAAAGGGTATGTATTAATTTCTTCTTTTGTGAAAAGAATAAAACCTACTCCCTTTCCACCCAAAGGCAGCAGGTGCAGGCAAACACTCCCAGCTGAGCCAGCTCAGTGCACAGTTTTATTATTTCAATGTGTATAGATAATTTTATTAATTTTACACTAACTTCATATCAGGAAAACTTAGATCTGACTTTACTGAATTGGTTTTTTTTAACCACCTATCCACTCTTCCTGAATCCTGCCTCCTTTATAATACCTCAACAGGATTCATGCATAACAAAAAGCAAAAAACTTCTCCTTTTTATGTCTTGCTTGGTATTAATTTATTTTCCCTATAACCCACATTTCTAGTTCCCCTTTATTCTATTTCCAGCCTACACCCCAGAAATTCAAAGCTTATCAGTATTTTTGTGCAATATTTAGCTTGCACRGTTAAGCATTCAGCCTTCACTTTTCCTCGCCTTTAAGGTCAAAAAGTCACTTTGAACCCTTGTGCTTATTTATTATTTAAAAATATGAGGTCATGTGATTGTAGAAATATGATGATACTATACCAGGGGTTCCCAAATTGAGGTGTACCACTGGTGGTTTGCAAACCCCTTAAAAGCGGTACACGAGCTGCTCTCTGCCAAGAGCAGGGCGCTGGCAGATCCTGATTCTCTGCTGACCTGGAGGAAACAGGGAAGGGATGTCTGGGCAGTGAAAGCTGCAGTAAGTGCCAAATGCTTCCCCTCTGACTCCTTCTTGCCCTGCATCAAGGAACTGCTGTGCCTTTCTCAAGGAGAGGGGGCTCGAGGAGTGCATGGGGAGGGAGGGGAGCAGAGGGGCAGCAGTGCACGCACACCACACACACACACACACACACACATTGTGCACTCTCACACAAGAATCACTCAGTGCCCATCTCCCCCACGCTCTCTGGTGCTCAGAGCTCATTGCCTGGTACACCTGAGCTCCTGGACTCTCCCCACCCCAGAGCAAGGGTCCCTCCATCCATCCCTCCCTCCCWCGCTGCTGCTCTGCAGCCCAGGGGCTCCTGGAGCACAGTGGGACACACCTGAGCTGCCCCCACTCACTGACAGCCAGCCCCAGCAATTCCAACTTTGGGAAGCCTTGTACTACAGCCAAACTGAAAATGCAGTCAGAAGTACCACAAGGTGAATGAGACGCACCAACCCGTGTGATCTGAYGATGAGATGACACAGCTGATATTTCTTTTGGCTTTGCATAAAAATGTTCCTGTGCTTGCATGCTTGATACACTTACTTGTTCTGACAGACACCTTCAGCTCTGTAGCTTCTTTCCAAGTGAGTAATGATCTGGTAGGATGAATTTGTCTTAATATGTCAAGTTTTGTCTTAATTTCAAGTTTTCATCTCAACATATCACCAGTCCTGGGTCCCTGCTCAAACACTGAGCTCAGAAKTGCCTGATGTTGGTTCCAGCAGTCAGTGTGGCTCTGCCCCTGCCTGCTCCAAAAGCTCAGGCTCTGACCACGAGCCCAGGTAACACCACATTAAGGAATGCAATCGCTTGTAGAAGAGCAATTGGTGTTAAAAGCAAGAAAACAACAAATCTAAATGCATGCTGCAAACAAAATAATTTAAAATAGCAAGTATCTCTGCTCTTTGGGTCTACTTATTTTCAAAAAGATTTTCTTCTCTTCCTGCTTTGACTCACGAAAATGTTACAGGTTTAATAAAAAAACCCAAACACAACAGGGTAAAACCAAGAGTCCCCTAAAAGACTAGGAAAGTAATTTCAAAGAAAAACCCCTAGGAAAAGCTATTCAGCTAATCTGATGAATCTCTCTTTTCATATGCACAAGAAGAACTCCAGATCTCTCACTTAGCTCAGGGTAGCACCTGCATGAGCAGGGCCCAGAAACAGCTGACACACAACACCCCTCTGTCCTATCAGGACAGATTTTTGTGACCACACTCATTTAAGTTGACCCTTAGGAAGTTATACTTATTAAGGATGTTTAAAAGACTGTTTGGGCAAACACTAAGGCAAATAGAGATCCCGGATGTTTCAGACAAAGTGCTTAAAAAAACCCTTTTAATATTGTAATTTGAACTATCTCAGTCTTAGCACACTTACAGTTGGTGTCCTCATTTCTGTTGTAATTCTGTGTACACTGTCTCCTTCACATGCTTTTTAACCCTCTCAAAGAGTCTGTAGCCAGTGTTGTTTGTGGATGGTTCTTTCAAACCATGCTAACCTAAAACTCCAACATCTTGGGGCATTAAGTATCACCAACAGTGTATGCTCAGTCCTAATTATTTTTCATTTTTAAGCTTCTCCTTTCTATGATCTTTTGCTCCTCTGCCATGAGACAGACAGACTGCTTCATTTAACAGATCCCAGGATTAGTTCAACCCACGGGAAGATGCAATCTCAGAAATGACACTCCTAAATGAAAGCAATTTCTTTTTAGGTCTATGCAAGTGCTATAAATTCTTTTCATAGAATCACAGAAACTCCTGAGCTGGAAGGAATCCTAAAGGATCATTAAGTCCAGCACCTGGCCCTTCACTACCCCCTGCAATAGTCCCTGCCTGTGCACCCCTGAGAGCACTGTCCAAACACTCCTGGAGCTCTTGCAGCCTTGGAAAGCCTGTTCAGTGCCCAATCACCCTCTRGGGAAAAACCTTTCACTGATATCCAACCTAAACCTCCCATTACAGCTTTGTGTTGGTTTTGCTGAACTCGTTTCCCTGCAGTGTGAGGACAGTTCCATACAGCATTAGGTGGGAGCACCCCACAATGCCAATAAGCAGGAACGTAATTTTTAATATCAAGTGCTTGTGTTGCCACAGCACTTGAGCTTGACAGCTTTTTATTATTTAACATTTTCACAAAGAGCAGGAGCTCAGCTACACTGACAATGCCCTTCTGACAAGCAACTTTTCCTGCTCTCTCTGATACAGACAGAAATTATCTGCTGTGGCCAACACAAATCTTGTTGAGAACTCAGTGACACAAGCTCTATGCCTGGGATAAATCAAGGTGTTGAGTCAAACAGCCACATATGGAAGAACAGAAGCAACTGGGATTTCAGTCCCATACTCTTCCAGAACTTTGATGTAACACCACTCTGGACAAAATTGTTTCTTCYGTGGCCTTCTCAATCCACACAGCTGGCATCCAAACTACAAATTGGCCTAAAAGCTGAAAATTTGAACAATTTCACTGGAGTGAAACCAAGCAGGTGTACAGAAGCTGTCTGAGACCCATATCACTGACAGGTTTAAACACTCAGCCTTCTCACATTTCCCCTTAGATCMAAGAACTATCAGAAATTACTCCCCTCCAGGCATTCAGGACAGAACTCAGGGGCTGGTAACAGCAGTTATGCCCATTACAGGAACTGGCTCCAACCCTGAACGAGTCTGAAAGCAAAACCAGCTGAACTGGCAATATTTGAGATTTGAAAGAATATCCTTCACTTTAAAGCTCTGGTGAGCTGCAAAAGCACAGGACTTCCAGGGGCTCTGGGCAGTCGTCTCATGCTTCAGAAGCTCAACCCTTCCATTTCATCACAGTTCAGCACCTGGAGATCTGCAATTCTCTTTAAGTAAACAAATCTTACTCTAAAGAAACCCCTGCCCCAGACGTCTTATCTGTCCTCCAGACACAACWCCATGCTGTGGCATCATTCCCTCTGGATGGAAGCAGAGAGGCCAGGTCTTGGAATTAGCCCATCAACCCAGTGGGACCCAGCACTAAGATCAGTTCCTGATGTGAGCCACAAATACCATGGGAACACCAAAGGATTAACAAAACATTAAACAAAGGGTTGGAGTAGTATCTGTAGGAAATTAATAATTACAAATTAGATACTAAAGGCTTAATCCTGGATTTACAGGGATTATGATGGAACGAGATGAAGTGTAATCAAAATATCAGGTTAAGTATTCAACCTCTGTGGAGCAGAGAGCACAACTTTAATTTATACAGACTGCGTGCTCTGTGGAAGCAGCTTATCCATTCATCATGTTTTGTTCACCACCAAAACAAACAAGACTCAGCCCAAGATCAGGTTTCTGAGTTTAACCACAGCATGAGTAATGAGAACTCCTTCAGTTTAGCATCCTTCAAGGAAGACTCACTAGAAAAACTTACAGCTAACACTGAAGGTGGGAAGAAAACCACAAAGGATTGCGGGACAGACTTSATGTTGGAGGTCCCTWCCAACCCAAACCAGTCTGTGATTCTATGAAATGCACACAGTTTATACCAATGCTGCTCCAAATGGTACAGTAAGAGAATAATAAACAGACTGGTTATTAAAATTTAGTTTTATCAGCAACTATTAACATAAATAATCTTTTTTATTGTTCCTGAGTGATCATTACAGGACTGAACTAAAGGTATTTGGTTTCTTAATAATGGATGTGAGTATTATTTGTACTGCTTATTCTGATGCATTTTGATCCTGACAAATTCTAGGGGGAAGAATGATGATGAAAATGTCCAATTAAATGAAGAATGTTAAGAATGGAAAAATCAGCCAGAACTCAAGATTTTACTAGGATCAGGACATTCTGAAGTGCTGGCTGAGGTAAAGGGCAGATGTGTTAAGTTTTTTAATARTTCACCTCAATGCAAACAATGCAGAATTTCATTCCTTGAGGTGGCTCAGGAGGTTTGGTGTGGAGATCTGGATGACTGCTTCAGAGAAATGAGGAGCTGCCTGAGCAAAACTTCCCTGGGCTTCAGCTGAAGAGAACTGGAAAATGAACTAAGGCTGGCAGGGACCTCTACCAAATCCCCCTGCTTGAAGCAGAGAACCTGGAGCAGGTTGCTCAGGCTCATCCTGTCACTGGAACTCACCAAAAATCAGTCAAATAAAACTCCTTAACAACAGTGTAGCGTTAAGAAGGGCATTATTCATCACAGGGTGCAGGGGGGATAACTCCACCTTGTGTGCACGTGGTTATCTACAAGCGTGTTAGCTTACACAGTCACCACATGCATATTCTGCTCATTACTATAAAGGCCTCCCCAAGTTCCCAGGTTCAGTCCTTGTCTTGGCAGTGGCTGCATTCCTTAAACCAGATGTCTTCCCCTTATCTTCCAACCACCTGCCCTTGCTGAGAAAGCAGATCCTGCATACCCAGTTAAAACTACACAGGCACAGGAGAAATTGAATTAACCCTTTTGGAATCAATTCCAGCCAGGTTTCAGCATCTACAAGGACAGAAACTTCACTGTCTCCTTGGGCAAACTGTTCAACCAGTCTCAGTGTAAAACCACAGCTGATTATAAAGTACCATCTGTCTCTGGAGACCCACTACACAGAGCTGTGCTCAAAATGCTGAGCTACAGCATTATGGGCAGGTGACAGCAACACTGCAACAGCAGCACAGCTAAAAGCTGGCTGTAGGATTTTAGCCAAATTTTTCACTGGATCCCTCACAGGAGAAAAGTAAAACAAAAGAGTAAATTCTCAACAGGGAACCACTACTCTCAGAAGCATRTATTATCTCAAAGTCCATTGCTTCTCTGCAAGACAATCAATATATCGCATTTTCCAGAGCACAATCCCACCATCAGCTCCCTCCATAAGCACCCAAGGCAATTCCAATTCAAGTAATTCATATTCAAAGCAACCAAAGCAATTTTATGTGGCAAAGCACAGTGTCTTCCACAGCCCTGGAAGCAGACAGGATGCTGCAGCTACTCAATATTCTCGTCACTGAATTCCTGAGACCTCGAGGGAAGGCAGAACCCTGCACAGGTTGCAATGCAGGCAGGAATCCCACAGAAGCTCCTAGTCAGAAATAAGGTTTTCTTCTGTCACTATAACACATCCCTGCTGGAACCAACCATTCAGAGCTTTAATGAAGTTGTCAAATTCTGTCTGTGTTCAGATATACAGGCCACAGAATGGGGATCTGTTGAGACAGGCACCTACCAACACCCACCTGGAACCTGCTGCTGYTGTCCCCTCACTGTAACCCAGCAGTGCAAACAGACACGGGAGTGCAGGTACCTTTATATACTAACTTCAATATAAATTTTACGAGTAAGATTTTACTTTTCTCATATTTTAATGCAACACTTTATTTACATAACACTGCAGGACACATACTGCACTATGTATTCATTCACACATGCTGCAATGAAGGTATCACTGCCCAGCTGAGGGGGCACAGCTCCCCAGACAGACACAGCAACAGGAACAAAGCCTTAAATGCATTTTTTTCTTCCTAACCTACCTGAATCTCTGCGCCTGGTGATGCACGGGCCCTCCAAACCGTCTAGCTGGTGAATGACACAGCTGCGACAACAGTGCCACATTTTTGTTCTGGTTAGGGTTGGCTGCAAACTTCACTGTAATGGGCTCGGAGGAACCTGGGGGTTTGTGACCATTGAAATTTGTAATTGCCTCTTCTGCTTCTGACCTTTTGTCAAACCGGATAAATGCGACCCCTCTGGACAAACCTTGTAACCAAACCAATAAAAAACAAAACAAAACAAAACAAAAACAAAAAAWAAAAAAAAAAATGGAGTTCAGGATAAACTCAAAATAACTTTGAAAACAAAACCCAAAAAAGTTTAGTATTTCTATGGTCACAGCTTTCAAGTTCTCTACATTTACATTTCTTCAGCAGCTGAAGGATAAAGTACAAAATTAAGAAACCAAAGAAAATTAACATACTCATTTCAGCTATAACCACCACATGACTAAACACTTTAAAAAATACATTGTAGAATTCCATTATATTTATCACCARCTGACATTTCCACTCACAAAAAACTTCTCAACATTTTAAATTAAGTAAAAAAAACTTAATTACAGTTGGTTAAAAACAAATCCAAGCCCCTTAATTTTGATTACTTTACCACTAAAGAGCATCTGCAAACACAGAATTGACACATTTTTGCACATTTTCATTTTTCCATGTTAGAAACATAGTCAGGTTCAGAGACAAGGGACAAATGTCTGACTATTATAAAGGACTTTCACCTTTTGTAATGAAGAGACCACAATTTCACCTTCACCACAAATGTTATTTCTAACTGGCATATACATTACTTTTATTCATCAAAAGCAATGAAGAATTACCTCTTGGTGTCTGTACTGAACCAATTTCACAGCTGTTATACATTTGAATATCTTTTCCTAGTCCCAGCCCCTGGATGCTGTTATTTTTCTGAGGTACAAGTTAGGCCTTGTGAGCTCTCCTCTCCTCCCCTTCTCATCTGTGACCTTAGGCTGAAAATATGCTTTATCACAGCAAAGCTGAAAGGGCACATTTTGTTTAACTGCTATTCCAAAGCAGATAGYGTGGCAGAGTAAACGAAGGACTTCACTAGCTCTGTTTCAGAAAGGGACACATCAGACACTTCCACGTTTTCTTTACACCTAGACAGRACCATCTTTAAAGCAAGATACAGAAGTTAAGTTTATCATAAATCACAAGGTTGTTGGTAACAATTGAGGATCATTTTCTCTGTTTCACAGAAGGAAATGTAGCATGTCAAACCCTAGGCCTGCAGCAAGCAAGACATGTTTGTATTTTGATAAATAACAAACAAGGGGCTCACCAGARTAGAGCTGACAGCACTAAATGCTCAGGCACCACTGAGATCAGCCTCCTGTGCCAGGGGATGGGTATGTCCCACCCTGGAAAGGCTCACAGCAGTGGCATCACTCAGAACTCAGCAAGTCCTGTCCTAAAGCTCAGTTTTACTGTGACTCCTCCGCTTTCATGATGCTCATCCTACTGCTTCTCACTTGAACTACCAAAGCATTCATTTAAAATACAAATATTGTAGAAARCATCTTTTTAAACAGAATAATTTTCAAAAGCTGGAGTACCACCTCTGTGAGAAGGTACCACTAAGTACAAATTAAAACGTGTCTTAAGTGGGAGTAGATCGATACAAAAGGCAGGCTTAAAGCCAAGGCACAGCTACACTGCTGGTGGGAAGGCAAGCCCAGGCTCTACAGGCACTAACTCTGAGATGTAACAGAACCCACTCTTCCCTCAATGCATTATTAAGGCTATTGGAAAGCAGGTGATGTGTTCAGAGCTGAATTACACTGCATCAGGCCCCAGCACATTCACAAAAACTCTTYTCTTGGGGAGATTCTATTTGTATGACTTCTATCATCTCATTTTACAGTGCTGTCAAATCCACATGCTCTCCAGAGCCCACAGACAGCCACAGAGGGATGACCAGTTTGGACACTTGCATTAATAAGTTTGCTGAGCTCCATAAGTCCTCTTCATGCTTCTCACTGCAGCCCTGGATAACCAGCTCTAGAGACAGGACCATGCACGTATCAGAGTTGGGCAAAATTAATCATTTTCTCCAGGAAAGACAGGATGAGATTTTCCTCACTCAAGCACAGAGTGTCTGCCCTGTCAGTCCCCAGACCTCAGCAAGTCACCTCAAGTTTCTCTGATGCACAATTGTGTTTGCAGCATGCTCTGACCAAACATCTGTGAGCTGTGCCTGCAGGAGCTGCCTCTGACAGGAACACAGCCCTGCAGAACTCAGTCTGGACTTAGGCTGAGCCTGCCAGGAGTTGCTGGTGGCCCACTCAGAAGTAYAGCAGATTCCTCACACTGCAGGAAAGCTGCTTCTGAACTGATGTGGATAAATGCACATTCCAGTTAAAAATGTTAAATGTGAAACTGCTAGAATTAGATTGTCTTCTAATACAAAACATGCATAATCAATGAAAAAGTGTATTTGCAAAAGCTCTCTTCAGTTTAATACATGACATATGGGCTCCTAGTAAAACCACAGAACACCTAGGTGACAGGATAAGCCAGACTCTGCAGTCATATGGTCTGAAATAATGAGGTAAGAAATTAAAACTCTGAAAACACATTGTAAAAAGTCAGAATAACCATCATAAAGAAAACCTTATCTCTGGTTACCCTGAGCCAAGTGCTTAACTAAGCAACTTTTCCCCTTTCTTCCTCTTTTTTAATACACAAAATACATTTAGAATTTAAGGGCAGTACTAAGTGTATGAAATTCATTCCTTTGCTTAGCAGTAACCMCAGAGGCCTGTAAGACATCTCAAATGGTTTAAAATATGAGAAAATTGGGTGAGTGAGTTCCAAGCTGTTACAAAAGACAAAACACATTTATGTTTTGCTTTAAATCTCTGTGGCCTGGAATTCATCTGTGGATAAGAGCTGCATGTGTGCAAAGYAAAGGTAAGGTCAGCAATCCAGGTKRTACACACGGCCCAGAAACACAATGCACTGCAGTGASAGCAAGTGTCAGAGCAAGAAAGTAGATTTGGTAAATCAGTAGCTGACATAAATGACAATAATCCTATTTTAATAGGATCCAAGGTCAAGGCTGTAAGCTGGCAAAGAGGCAGCACAAGTCATTCTATGTTTTAAAAAAATCACTGAACAAGGATACCCTGTTCAAATTCTATCAGTGGTTGACACCACATGTCATGACTAGCTTGGGGAAGTCTAATTTACTTAAATTTAGAAACTGCCASTCTCAGAAAAACACCAAACATGCTGTACACTTCAGTTTTCTGCAGCCAAGGCAYCAGAACTCACCTGTGGTTTGATCCACGAGCACACGTGAGTTGATGATGCGCCCAAAACGGGAAAACATATCTTCTACATCCTTCTGTGTCATTGACCTGGGCAGGCCACTGATATATAAATTAGCATCCTTGATAACTTCAGAACTTGGGCGGGCATAGGAAACCTTTAAAAGAAAAAAAAAAAAAAGCCCAACATGTTCAGGATATTAACAGGGAAGATCAATTTATTGTTATGAGCCAATTTAATTTACTCCCCCACTACAAACACAGGCATTTTAATTGGAGTTTAAAAAAATAGAAGCGGGAGAGAGCAGCGGAAAATCAACCAAACAACAGGAGAAAGGACAAGTCCCTACAGAACTCCATTCACTTGGGGCTTACCCAAGAGATAACAACTACATTGGCATTGCTATGAGGAGACAGCAGCAGACCAATAGCAACACTMCCAGCAAACACTTTTGCTATGTGAACAAAACCAAATTCTGACAGAGATGCTGGACCTATCACAGTTCACATCAGGAACTTGTCCTGCCARTATATTTTCTAAAGCTTCATAAAAAGATGGCACAAGTAGAGTGCAGTTTTCTGCCCTAATTTCTGCTACTGGAGAAAGTTGCATAGATCACCTAAGCAGGAGTGCATCCTACACACAGAGCATAGGGTGTAGTTTTGGATAAGGAAAGAAGCACATATGTATTAGCACGATATACAATAAACATTGTGAAGCATCCAAGATGTGAGTTAAAAAGCCTGGCAACAATTCAGAATGGTCCTTCTAATGCTGTAAAAATGATGGGAATAAAAAAAAAAAAAGGGAGTCTTCAAATACAAAGCTATTTCAAAACACTTCACTACTCTGCAGATTCATGCTTCCTGCAGCTGCAGCACATAAACTTTATCACCAGAATGAAGTTTATTACAATACTGTTTTCAGAAGAATGAAGAGTTCCTACCTTGATAGTTTTTGACTGAAGTCTGAGGCCATTCAGTGTATTTATTGCTCTTTCAGCATCTTTTGCAGTTACGTAGTTCACAAAGCCATAGCCTAAGCTGTGTCCTAAAGGGAAGAAAATGCTTTTAAACTAATCCTAACAAAAAGAAGTTATAATCACTAAAATGAAAGGAAATGCAAACAAAACATGCACAACTCACAGAGCAAATATTTCAGTACACCAAGGAGGTTTCTCAAGGCTGGCACACATCAATAATAACTCAGAGCTCTTTTATTTCCACTCRGAACACCCCTCTGCCTTCACAGACAGTGGGCATTGGACAGAACACCCATCAACACCAAGAAATTTAATACTAAAACACCAACTCTGACCAGCGTTGCAAACTTCATGGGTGTGGAACAAAGGCAATTACTTAACCCAGTTCATCAGTACAAACTCTTGTGGATAGAGAGCAGAAAGTGAGAAAACGTTAATGGATGAACTACCAGATCAGAAATGAAGAGCCTCATGATTTCTTTGGCTATTCCAACCTCCACCCCTGGAGACAAGAAGGAAAAAGTTGTTTCCAATACTTCATTAATACAGCTACCAAGCAGCAAGTTTCCAAAACACAGTATCAAAGTGAAGAGTGAAAAATTCTCTTTAAGGCAGACAATTTATGTACTATCATTTTATCTAAGTTTACCTTTACCTCTTACAGGAAGAATCTGATATAATATTAAAAATCCTTAAAATGTTTAAGGCAAAATATATTTATTTGGATACTTACTTGTTCTGCTTCTATCTCCAATCTCCACAACTGCTACTATCAATTATAACATTACATACTAAGATCATTTTGGGTTGCAATTTCCCAACAATTAGAAGCTCTTATCAATRCCGACCTAAAAGTAACAAATACTTTCAAGACTGTCTCAGAGTAATAAAACAACTGCCGTTCAGCCCAAGACACACCTCTTTCATCCAACTTCTTGTCTCTTGTCAGATCTGTGGGATGTTCTAAAGAAAATTGTAAGCGTGTGTAGGAAAATGTGGTATTTTCCTCTAACAATATACTACTTTTAAGTTATTGAGTTCCAATGTTAGGCTTGAGGACACTAAAAGACAAAACTAATTGTYATGATAAAGAATTCTGTGGTAAAATAGTCCTTCTTAAACCACACTGCCTGGTTCTGCAATGGCCTTAGCTGAYGAGGAAGTTTCTTTATGCTTTCCAGACATTTCAGAACACAAGTGTCAAATGATGACATCCTGGCACAAATGTCAGAGGAATGAAGAAAAGAGCCGCAAGAGAGCTGCACATTAACTCCGGATACTGAAAGAAGGAATGCCCAGTCTGCTGAGGCATCGAGATTGCAAGTATAAAATCCACGAGGGAATGGAAGGAAACCCCAAATAACCCTCAGTGTTTTCATGCCAACAGACTGACTGCAGAACTGTGCCAGCTCCTGGCACGGCCTCTGCCTTTGGCTGCTTTCTTGTGAAACCTAATCCAGCAGTAACTAAGCTGAACCCAAACAATATCAGAGCCTGTTGTCTAATACACCCTTTGTATAAACACTCACAGGTAATTTCTGCTGCCAGCTAAAGGTCTTAAAGAAGCCAGATCCACTTTGTGTTCAACTTTTGCACAGAAACAACGTCCTGCTCCTTTACAGACCTGGTGTTAAACCAGCACCTATCAGCCTCTAATGACATCAGACACAGCACAACCACTCTGCCAGCCAAGGTGGATTTAACTCCATCCTTTGAAGACCTACAGATAACTGCAAAATTGTGATCAATGTTTTTTACAGGCAACCACAGAATGGCTTTTGYGATTTCTTTATAACATTTTGTTTTGTTACTCAAAATTGGTCAATCATTTAGACAAAATCTGGTTCACACTGACGTACCTACTGAGACTATTCATCTCTGATTAAGAAAATGAATAATTGAACAATTAGAAAATTGTTTAGCACCTGGACCTTACCTTACTTCTCTAGAGTCTGACAAAGAAAACAAAGTAAGTTTAAGAGGGAAAAAATACTAGGTGGACAGGTGGAAATTACTTTTCCGTCTTGCAAGAGTAGGAAAGATCCAACATCCCTCACAGGTCCAGCCCTGCTCTGAAAGCTCAGAGCATAAGGTGCTTTATGGATATTTTCAGTCTGTCCCAAAAGTCACATAAACATGAATACTCCAGGAAACTACTAAACAAAACCAGGTCCTAATAAAACTTTACGGAAATGGTCCCTTAAAGACCAGGAAAACATACTGCAAACAGGACTCACAACGAGTGACCCACAATGAGCCCTGGCAGTCAGAGCTGTCACTCCCTGGAGGGATGCTGCACTGGAGAGGACAAGGGAACTATTCTCCTGACAGGTGAGGAAGAGCAGGATTACATTCGTATAAATTTATTATGCTGTTTTCAGTACAATGAGTATCCTTCCCTAGTCCSTTACAACAAGTTCCCAGAGAACACAGCAGGCACAGAATTGCAGATCATGGAATGGTTTGAGTTTAGAAGGACCTTAGAGACCATGACATTCCACTCCCTGCCATGGGCAGGGACACCTTTCACTACACCAGRATGCTCCAAGCCCCATCCAACCTGGCCTTAGACACTGCCAGAGCTCCAGGGGCAGCCACAGCTGCTCTGGGCACSCTGTGCCAGGGCCTCACCATTCTCACAGCCATCRATTCCTTCCCAATATCCCATCCATCCCTGCCYTCTGGCACYGGGAAATCTTTCCCTCTTGTCCTTGTCCCTCCAGGCCCTTGTCCCAAATCCCTCTACAGCTCTTCTGAAGCCCCTTTAGGTCCTGGAAGGGGCTCTGAGGTCTCCCCAAATCCTTCTCTCATTGAGGTGAAGACCCCCAGTTTTCCCAGCCTGGCTCCAGAGAAGAAGGGCTCCGGCCTTCAGATCCATCTCCAYAGCTTTCCCTGGACTCATTCTAAAAGGTCCATGTCTTTCTTGTGTTGGGGTCCCCAGGGCCGGAGACAGCTCTGAAGATGGGGTCTCACCAGAGCRGAGCAGAGAGGCAGAATCCCCCCTTCTCCTGCTGCCCACACTCCTTTGCTTCCTCCCAGAGCATCACACAGGTTATGTGTTTATGTGCTATTTGAGATCAGTGACAAGGAAGTTCAAMTTATATACAGGATAAAACCAAACCTAAGTAACAGCACTCATGGACATCCRGAGAAAAAGGCACCCTCTGATCTAGGTCCAATCTCTGGAATCACAAACTGTGTCCTAACATACACACAAGCCCATGTGAAAAGCAGTTAAAAAATTTGCCCCAGGCACTCTGACTTAAAGCGCATTCCACAGCCYCCAGCCAATGCTCTCCTTTTCCAAATTCAGGTCTACATATTCTGTGTCCACTTGCTCCTCTACAAGTCCTATCCTTGACCTTGCACACACTTCCCCTTTCAAGTGTCTTGTCCCTAAAGTASCCCCACACAGTGACCATATCTTCTTGGTCTCTTTACTGTTTTTATCAGAGCAAAATTCTGCACATTTTCCACTTCCAGTTTTATGCAGGCTGCTCAATGACTATGCCTTATCCAAGAGTTTGAATGCCCTGGGAAATGAGGGGGCAGAGACATAATAGAGTTTACTCAAATACACATTTGTTTAAGAAGGCTCTGAAAGCGGCAGAATCACAACAGTCAGACATTCTCATATTCCCTCYAGGCAATTGACAGTAAGTTTGTACTGAACCCCAATATTACAGTCCTATTAACTTTTACCTGCCAACAGGTAAGAAAATATCAATTATCTGTATTTCTGTACAATAACCAAGAATGCAGACTGCCCCTACTAGTCTGTACTTACCACCTTTAAATTATATTCGCATAACATGACATCATAGTCCTTAAGTGCTAGAAAAACCTAACCCACGCAACATTGACAGCGTATACTAACTTACCTTGCTCTAAAATACCCAATTGCATCACTGTCAGCCTTCTCCTCCCCCTCAGTGCTCAGGGTTCATTTCTACACAGCTGGGCCAACACACAGAAGGCATTTCCACCTCACGGATCCCTGTGCAGGAATGTTCTCTGCTTCACAACTTCACTCCAAAATCGCACAATCTACCTCTCTGCTAGGGATGCCAGGAAATATAWAAGGAACCGGCATTTACAAAGCATTATGACTGCTGTCAAGTGTTTACCCCAATCAAGGAGAGAAGCTTTTTTGCTTTCTCCTGATGTTCCCAGCCTCCTATAGAAACCTGCAGTGCAAAGGAGATTGGTGTTGTAACAGTTTTCAAAACATTTTAGTGGATAGGAATTAAAAAACATTTTTAAAAGTTTGCTTATACATAAATACAAATTTATTCAAGAGACAAAGCTAAAAAAGAGCAAACAAATAGGTCCTTATCTAGATGAATAATTAACAAAGTGACTATAAAACCTAGTTTTAAGCAAAATACTACACTCCTTCAGTAAAAAGAATGAAGTTTTGTTTCCACAATAAAAGGCCCTTTCATAAGAGAGGGCACTGGTTTTCTTTCCATGCATCACTTGGGTTTCTGTCCATGTCCTGCTTCCTTTCCCAGCTCCCAAGACAGGTGGCTTTAGTCACCAACTCCTTCCTTATTCCCAGCCCACTGCTGACAACTCCAGCTTCACTGGAGGGTCTGATATACACCAGAGCACTTCACTGACAGCAGCTAATACAGATTCTCCCATCCAGTCCTTTGTAAGAAATTACAAAAATAAACCTGGCTCCTGTTATGTCAGTGCACCTCAGTATGACAGCAACTTAATTTAGAACTTGTTTTCAGAACTAGAAATCAGTGTTGGACGACATGAGCTGGGTTTGGGGTTTTTGTCTGGCTTTACAAACTGTGCTGTGAGTGATAACCAGAGAGCCTAAATACGCRTGAATGCATCGAGAAGTACCATGTAAAATGCCAGGCATCAGCACAATTCAAAGCAGTGGCTATAATTTCTGAGGATAAGAACAGATTMAAGTGCTCAGATGTGCCCTGTGTTGGCTTCTTTAGCACAGTTACTGCTGTATAGCCAGGGCTACACAATCACATCAGCCCCAAGAAAAGCACAACCATCCTCCATCAAACTTGCAAAAAATTGTTGTGACAATGGAGAA